GCCTGTTTTGTGTGCATGTTCTAATAAAATTTCCATTGTTCTGCACGTTACCGGATCATCATCAACTGTATTTTTGGTATTTTTGATATTTTCAATATTTTCGATAAACTCATTTTCTTTTAGTGCAAGGTCGAACTTAAAAGAGTTAGTTTTTGTATTATTTAAAAGGAAACAAGAAGATATCATATGAACACCATTAATCTCTTCACATGGTCTATTGTTTGTTCATTATGTTCAAATGGCCGAGCTGCTAAATAGAGTTGGTCAAAAAACCCCTTCATCATCTTCATGTTTGTTTTATCAACGTTTTCAGTTGTTACATTTTATTTTGATTTTTTTTTAATCTTATCCATGTTTGTTTATTAACATTTTCAGTTGAAACCTTTTTATCATGATATTAGTAATGGCAACATCTAATCATTATAATCAGGATCTTTTACCACTTCTACCTGTTGCTTCCGTTGTTGCTGTTGATAAATGGAGGAAGACAACATCAAACATGTTTATGAAGAGAAAGTTGACAAGGAAGAAAATAGTGCCAAAGATATCCATGGAGAATTTGTTGTAGTTGATATGATAATAATGATAATAATAAACTGTGAAATAACCTTGATTCTATACTCTTCAATCTTTTAGTGATGGAAATTGATGTGTATGTCGAGTTTGATTGCTTGGCGAATTACTAACTAAGAGATAATATGAAAGAGGATATAATTAATTCATTGAAATATTATTGTTAATGATTGACTACTTGCAGCAAAAAACCTACTTTAATTTTGGCATCAAAAAAAAGATCCCGCAAATGAATATACACAACCTTTAATTATATCATGAAATAAATATTCACTAAACATCTTGAATTCTAAATAACTGAAATCTCTCATTTAGCCAAAACACCGCCTCGCCAGAGACTGTTTCATTAGTTTTTGTGGTGATTTTTGCCAATCTGATCATGAGTAGAATCAACGACATTTTTGATGATAAAAAAATTTTGCAGATAATAAAATAATAAAATATTACATTTATTGTTGTCATTTGGCGCTAGTATTTATAACTTAAAGTAATCAACAATAAAGTAGAATTACAATCAGCATATACACGAGAACCAAGTATTTCTTTAATAGATAAAGGTGTTGTAGATTTACAGGTACGTCAGTATCACTACGTTGCCTAATGTTGCCTTTTAAAATTGCTCAACGTTGCTTAATTTTGCTCGACGTTGCTTAATTTTGCTCAACGTTGCTTAATTTTGCTCAACGTTGCTTAACTTTGCTCAACGTTTCCTGCGACGCCTTGCTGACATTTTGAGAGTACGGTGCAGATCATCTATAATCATTAATTGCTTATAGTCAATTTCAAAATACTAAAACAAAAAAACATTATATCATTTTAAAAAATTTAACCGATAAGTTTATTGTTCATGACTCAAGCTTCAAAACTTATCGGCTAGTTTTTTCTTAAACTGAAAATTGGCAGAGCCTTAGCATTTTGAAAATTCCGAATTTTGTTATACATTTAAGAAATTG